TGGTTGGCAAGACTATTGCTAGTTCCCTCTTTCGAGAGTTGCTTGAAAATAAGTTAATGACCATGAATTCATCGTTAAAACTTCTTTTGAAAGGACGTTTCTAAAGTTTTGAGTTGCTTCAAAATGTGCAACGGATCTTCATTCGGCCCTCTCCAAGAATTAGTGAAAGAGCTCAGTTTGTTTCGGATTTTCAGTTTATGGCTACTTTACTCTAGAAGCGCTCGTAGCGCAGGGTTGAAATCAACTTTACCAACAACAAACAACCTTGATTTGCCACATACTTTTCCCTTAGTACCGAAACAAACTTTCCGAATCCCACTGCAGTCTTCAGTACACCTTGGAAGCACTGTGTACTTATAAAATCAGCTCTCCTTGCTCCCCACTCTCGACACCTTCCCGACTTTCTTGTCTGAACATTTTAATATACAGAAATAATAACAATAAATGATATTTTAGATTCAAATATGCTGCCGACTCTGAGCGAATTTGTGGCCGGTTTACAAAACGACCCGCACCATTTGAAGGGATTTCTTCGACTTACCAAAATACTGCTACAACTAGTCCTTGAATATCCCGGTTTGCCGTCCGGAATTGCTGGTCGTACGCCACTTGAGCAAGCCTATAAAGATGTCGGCTTACATCGTGAAAATTATTCGGAGCTGCTGAGGATGTTTCTTACGTCGCGAGATGATGAAGGCAAAAAGGTAAATGCTAAATGTCATAATTCTGGAAGAACTTGTATTTTAAGGATAATTTGTCGGCAGTTACTAAAACTCGGCTCGACCGTTACCGTAATCTCCCCGCTAACGATATTTTGCGACGGCGCAAGCAACCCTAAGGCACCCCCTTACCTCCAACCCCCGGTGCCCAGAACCCGCGCACAGTGTCCTCTTATAGCCAATCCATCTGTAACATCCAGCGTTCCGTGCCGCAGCCCGGTAAAGACACCCGAAAAAATCTTTCGCAGATTGCATATGGCGCCGGTCGAGCGGGATTGAGTCGAATTTTAGTAATTGCCTAATTTTGCTGCTTTCTCTTTGAATTTGAGTTCGTGAGGAATGTACTTTTGTTTTCGAGAAGTTACAAATCATTCTTCGATTTTTTTGCTTTTATGCATATAAATTACTTTACTCGGCGTCTG